AACTTTTATAAAATTTAATTCTTTACCAGAATACCAAAACATGAATATTTGCATCATTTTTATAATTGTAAGTATATGTCTATGACCAACAGTTGCGAAGATAAAGGCCGAGTAAAATAACTTTTGTGGGAAATGTATGAAAAGCAGAAAAATGCTTTATTTAATTTGATGCTTATTGTAAAAATGTAACTGAAACGATGCGGTGTTACCAAATTAAAACCTGAATTGCTTTTTAAAAGCTATAATAACTAATAATGTGTTCATCATTTTTCAAGGTTTTTTACATGTAAATGATGCACAAATTTTGAAGAAGAATTACAGATTTACTTTAGTGGTAAATTTCTCTATTTCTTTCGAAATTTTGAGCTATAGGAATTATTGATTAATTATTTCCATGTAATGAAGTTCTGGCCAAATTTATTACTGAAGTCGGAATGTTTTTATTAGGTACTAGCTGTACCCGCCCGGCGTTGCCCGTGCATTTAGAAAATGCAGATAAGTGAATAGCGCAGGAATAGTAGTGTAGGACATGTAGACTGTCTCTCTCTCTTCCCCCCCCCACCACAGCTACAAAAAAGAAATGAATTGTAATTAACGATTTAATGTATCGTCAAAACAGCAAACTAACGCTAGAATAAAAGAAATCAATTGTTACAATCGAACGTTATTTGAAAACAAATAATAATATCAGTGAGTCAAAAAAACCCGTGATTAATTAATTATAAATAATAAGCTACAAAAAAGAAATGAATTGTAATTAATCGATTTAATGTATCGTCAAAACAGCAAACTAACGCTAGAATAAGAAATCAATTGTTACAATCGAACGTTATTTGAAAACAATAATAATATCAGTGAGTCAAAAAAACCGTGATTAATTACTTTATAATAATAAGCTACAAAAAAGAAATGAATTGTAATTAATTGATTTAATGTGTCGTCAAAACAGCAAACTAACGCTAGAATAAAGAAATCAATTGTTACAATCGAACGTTATTTGAAAACAAAATAAATATCAGTGAGTCAAAAAAACCGTGATTAATTAATTATAAATAATTTTTTTTAAAATTTTTCTAATTCAAAAATCGAAAATCGGGCTTCGAGGTCTGGTGGCCAGCCCCTTTGTGCTTCCGTATAAAAAATTCCAGGTCCCTGCGTGCGATAGATTTGGCTGGAGAGCTCGGTCAGACAGACAGACAGACACATTACACTTGCTTTTATTATTATAGATAAATATAGTAGATAACCTCAGTTTGAAAAGTAATAAATACTATAAAATAAACAATATAGAAGCGGTATTAGCCATTTTTTCTTATGATCCTATCATAATTATGCAATAGGGAAGTAGAGAGTATCAATATTGAAGTAGAATTGTTGAGAAATTCTCAAAGGGATTGACTATTGAAAATATTTGAGGACGTCTCATTCAAAAAAAAAAAAAAAAAAAAAAAAAAAAAGAGGTGTTTATCTAAAATATACCTATTTATCTATCGATATATATTTAAGAATTTTTTTAATTTAACAACTAGATCGATATAACAAAAACAAAACAACAACAAAGTACGCAGAATTTATAAACTATAATCATTAGTACGAAAACAATTAAACTCATCCTTCTCATCTCATCATTAAGACTACGGCTTCTAAAAGGGCCCAGAGTTTCTAAGAATATAAAATCGATATTAATTCTTCAATATTTTTTTAAAGACTACCATTTCCTAATTCAACAAGATTGGATTATTCAGATTACAGCAATGAATGTAATGAATGTAACTATCTACTTGAGGAAGAGGGATGCCTTTGCGGAGAACGTTTTAAGGGAACTTTGCTTGTATTCACGTTAAATATGAGGAAACTCACGATAAAATCACCATGCAATCGGCCTTTTTGCCGGAGTTTGAAACCGGTTCAAACAGTGTTCACCGATTTTCCTACTGGAATGCCTAATGCCAGCGAGATCGTCAAGTAGTGCTACTGGTCTCAACATTAAAGGTGACAGCCAAAATGTCTAATTCCGCTCTTAAACTTGAATGCTTTAGGTAATTACCAAATCAAGGAGTTACATTTCTAGTTTTTATGATAACAATAAACAACTTTTGTATCAGAAATAAAAAATTAATTCTGATACAAAAGAGTAATTAAGTACATCACAGTTTTTAAGTTTAGTCTTTCTCATCATAGTGTAATTATTTAGGCAGGTTTGATTTGACGGTTATAAATCGTTTTTTGAATTATTAATCCAATTTCTGACTGTTTATGTTAATGTTTTCGTTTTCCATCTGTTCAGTTAGTAATGAATAATAAATAAATGTTCAATCGCAAACAATCCATTTATAATTTTTTACATTATTTTGCTTTTCACGTTATTTCGTTTATTTTGAAGTAGACAGCTCAGTGCACGTAATAAGTAGATAACTTTTTAAGTAGGAAACATCCTTTCTGGAATAATTTTTTGAATTGCTACGTCACATAAGGCTACGACGTAGTTTCTATCCCCGCTACTTGGCAAATATTACGACTGCGCGAAACATTAATATCCTAAAATTCTTTATTTATCCAAATAAGCAGTACTTTGCTATTTGATTAGACGTAAGATTTTTAATTTATGCCTTCGGTAGCAAGCTAAATTCATAAATCTGCATTTTTTGCGCTTCTCAGTCATAGGTGTATTTAACATCGCTTTGTGATGTTTCAAACTGCAGTAAATTTGAGAAATACTTATTTCAGTATAAATATGTGAGAATTATTGTGAGGAAATCATAATTCGATTTTTCTCTCAAACAAGAACGTGCTTTTGTAGCTAGCGGCTAGTTTTATAAAAGCAATTTTAGAAAACCGCTTAATTAACCGCTATATATTTCATCACTTTTTTCAGCTTTTGGACTGAGTACGAGATCAAAGCCTGACCGTGATTTTTTAAAAGAATTCTAGAAAATCGAAAGTAAAAAGAAACTACGAAGTAAAAAGAAAGTATGACGTGAAAAATTTCGGGTATCATATTTCAACATAAGTATCTATTTTGACCGTTCCCGAACCCATTCGACGGGTTATTTTACATGACGTCTGTACGTACGGACAGAATAAAGGACTCTTTTCTCTAAAACGGATTGTAAAATGGATTTAAAAGGACTTTTTGGGACGTCTTTTTGGGACGTACTCAAATACGTACGTATGCATGTATCTCGCATAACTATTAGTTGTAAAGCGTTTAAATTTTGTGTATGTTACTGTTATAACATCTAGTTATCCATCTCACTTTTTAATTGCAGTCGGCAGCACCAAACGTATATATATAAACCCCCTTACATGCAAAGTCCTTTATTTTCGCAATCGTTGGCCGTAATCATATACTTCCCATTACAGAAATGACGAAATTGACGGGATATTTTATTTGAAAAATTCGCAACTTTTGACGTTATTTTCAACTTGCCTTGAGGGACTGGTTAATTGAGTTAGAATAATTCAAAGGAACATATTTAAATGAAGTCAGCAAAATTACAGAAATGTTTTAAATGATGAAAATACTCATGTTTTGGAATGTCAAATTTAAAACAAAACTAATTTTGAGCATATAACGAAATCTAATTTTTAATGTGGTCTCCCGGTTCCTACACTTATATTTGGGAACATTTTATACGCTTTATGGAAAAATAAAACATGAAATTTGATTCCTGTATGATAAAAATTGACCGTACTATTTAATTTCAAAATTTGCAAATTTTGATGTCACTTTCAGCTCGCCCTTAGGAATCGGTTTATTTAGAATAATTCAAGAAAACAAGTTTAAATGAAATGCAGCAAAAAATTTGTTTAATTTTATTATACAAAGAAGAAGTTATGTGGTGATATCAGACTTTTTTTATCACATTTTTTTTTTTTGAAAAAAGAGCGTAAGTCCTTTTATAGCGTGTAAAAATTTCAAAACTTTATAACAAATATATTTTTGAATATTAAACTTTAAAATTTAAAATATTGAAATAGTAAAATAAAATCTAGCGATTTTTAAAAAATCATTGCATTAAATTAAAATTTCAGCATAAACTTTATTAAAAGATCCGCTCTATGGGTATCCACTCTATGGGTGATGCAAACAATAAAATTCTAAGAGACTTGCTCATTAAATGGAAATACGTGCGGAAAATTGACTAAAAGTAGTTTCAGCATCAAATAAATAAAATAAAAGGGTAAATCGAATTTTGAAGAAAGTCCCTCAGAGAGGTACATTTTGTCAGACATTTATGTATTCTAAATTTCATAGTTCTGGGTTTATTCATAATGTGATGAACTCCGCACGTTTAGAATCTCCTAGTTTTTATAAAAGAGGTAAAGATTCTTGCAGAATCGAGTTTTTATGTAGCTGATATATTTAAATTTGCAGAAGTTTTTTCTGTTTTTTTTTTTTTTTTTGAAGAAGAGAAGCGTTTTTATTGTTATCTCAAAATGCATGTGTTTTCCCACCTATAATACAGACATCAGTCCGTTTTCTAGGCTGAAAAGAGAAGGCTGAATGTCACTTTAATTTATGTTTAAACGAGCTTCTTTATTGCATAACGACATGCAGTTTGCTTACAACACAGAATAGCAACAATGTTGATGATTTAATTTATTAAATTATTTATGTTGCCATATTTTATTTTGTAATATTTTAGCAAACTTGGAAACTAAAAACAGACTGCATACATAATAAGCATTTAAGAAACGATACTCAAAATTAAAAAAAAAAAAAAAAAAAGAGAAATAAGATTGATAATTTTATACAGCATGCTTCCCACTGATTGATCTATTATAGTGAATAGTTATAACTTCGCTATAATAGATAAATGACTTATAGTGAAGTTATAACTTCACTATAATAGATCAATCAGTGAGATTATAACTATGTAGTTAGTAAGTTATAACTATAATAGTTATAATTTTATAATTGATCTATTATAGTGAAGCTATTTTTTCGTCTGCGTTAAGGAGGAACCGTGAGTGAGCTAAGCATACTGAGTACTCACCATGACTGGCCAATGGTAACAAGAGAAGAAAACTAAATAGCGCCATAACACGCAGCATTGTCGTCCCTCTCTGTGACTCTTGAATTGCTTCTGCCTCTCTCGTTCCTTTTGCTTTTTACTCAATTTCTCCTCCACTCAAAATTCCTGGAAGTGTTATCTCTTATCATAACCTTTATCATTTCAATTTTATTTTTTTCTTTACTCATCTTTTGACAGACCCTAAAATTCCTGTTTTAGGATTCCAGATGCCTGAATTTCCCGTTATTTAATTTTCATATCTTTCTTTTGTAAGCAAATAAATATTGTGTTTCTTAACTCATTTACGTGCTTTTATGTTTGTCATTTTAAGAGTGTAATACTCTATTCTTCTTCTAAAAAATTATTTTGAATGTTCTTAAAAATTAGAAAATGTCATGCATTAAAATAAAATATGTACACGTAATTAACTCTCAATTAACCTGAACAATACCAATGACGATTCCATGATCAACTCAAAATTACGATTATCCCAGGGAAATTAAAATAGACTCAAGAAAGAGGAATAATGTATGTTATAAATAACAGAAAAATACTGTTAACTCTTTATCTGCATTCATAGGCAGTTTAATCTGGAACATATGATCATTTGATTACGTAATTTAAATTTGTAACCAAAAAAAAAAAAAAAAAAAAAAAAAAAAAAGGAAAGTAAATAGCGAAAATAATGGAAGAATAGAAATGAAGAAATTCAATTTAAATGACTGTAAAGAATAACATTTACAAGATAACTCAAATAATGCCAACGAATGACCTATTGTTAACGAAATGTCCAGGCGCTGTAAGATAGCTTTTCCGCAAAGCAAGTTTAGGGTTGCCAGAAAATGGCAAAAGAAGGCAAGGTTGCGACATTTGGCAAGAAATTGCCCATTTGGCGACATTTGACGATGAAATTGGCGATATGTCACGGACGGATGGAAAACCTTCTGGAACAAATTTATTACCGGTTTAGCCCAGGATGTTCTCGAACACAAGCCAAAAGTTATATAAACCCTGCTGGTACATATCAAACCAAGCTATTGGAAGTGCTTATGCATTAATAGGAAGACACTCAACTCTTAGCATCGCTACTAAAAGAATTTTATATTTACAAGCCATAAGATTTATACTACTCTATGCTTCTCCAGCCTGGGCGGCTACCGCTCCTACGTACAGATTGAAAATTCAAAGAATCTCTACATATAATAAAAGAAAGAGTCTGTCTGTGTGTGTGTGTCTTTCGTTCGCGCTACGCGTAAGCTAATAGACGCACGGCTACGAAATTTGGTACATATGTGCATCTAGACAAGAGCCAGTGCACCTCGAAGGGATTTTTTCGAAATTCGAATTGGAATTTTTTTATTTTATGTTTTGGGAGGAAATTGCGTCATTTTTAGTCATAATGGGCTATAGAAAAGCGAGATTTTACTCTACGCACTCCATTTTCACATCGTCATGGCACTTAGCTATTTTACGTAGGCACTTAGCTATTTTACGAACTTAAAATAAATTTCGTGTTTCAATAAATCGATTAAATATGAATTTATTTAACAAAGTGAGCTTAACACCTTTTCAACGGGATTTTTTCTGAAAAAGTTTATTTTTAAAAATGTACACTTTATTTTTCTTTGATTTTTGGACACGTTAAACTTTTATCCTTGCGACTGCTTTTACAAAAAAAGAAAGAAAGAAAAAAAAAAAAAAAAAAAAAAAAAAAAGGAAAATGGTAATATTTTGTATTTTTAAATGAAGCTTCCCAGTACACTTCTCACATCTCACATCTTTAAAAATGTGATTTTGGCAAAAATTTTCCTTTCTCATTGTTGATAGATTTTTGATGAAATCACATCATTTTGAATAGTTTCATTTTTTTAGAAATATGGGTTTGGCAACAATTTTTCATCGTATTTCTTATATCACTGTTTTTAAGAGATTGGCATATTTCATTGCTCTTTTTATATATATATATATACATTTTTATTGACTTTTTTGATAAAGTTGTTCCGCAGAGTAAAATTCTGAGCGGAATTTTTTTAAAAAATTTCTTTCATGTTACTTTTTGCTTATTTCACTATTTGTAAGATAATGAAAAGTTTTGCATGATTTTTTTTCATCAACGGAAAGTTGGTTAATTTTTTATTAGTATAATTAATATTTGTATTAAGGGATAGAGCTTATTTCATTGTAATTTTTTTTTGTCTTGAAAATATAAGATAAAATATCATTAATTATACTTTGCTTTTCAGAATTATTTGTTTTCTGTATTCTTTTCTGTTATTTATCGCTCAGTTCACTGTTTTTAAGAAATTGAAAAGTTTTGAGTGTTTTTTTAGGAAACAAAGTTCTTAACATCCTTTATACGATTTGAGTTCTTAAGATTTTGCAAAGGGAAGTTGGTTAATTTATTTATTAGGATAATTAATATTTGTATTAAGGGATATTGCTTATTTAATTGTAATTTTGTCTATGAAGTTGTTCTGCAGAGTAAAATTCTAAGCAGTTTTTAAATTTAACGTTTGGTGTTCCCTTCAGCCATTTTTCCGGTACATTTAAAAGAAAGACGAAGGCTGGCAGCGAAGCTGAGCCAATGCTCCATGCTCCCTGGTTCGTAAGAAACTCCACTCTGCATAATGACCTTAGGATTAAAACGTACAGACTCAGAAATTCTAAAGTTATCTCATAAATTCTTTCTCAAATGTGATCAACACAACAAGGAAATCATTAAGAAATTAGGCAATTATGACTACGTCATAGAGCAACAGCATAAAAGACCTCCCACTATCCATCATAATTCTAAATGGTAGGGCTTGTTTATATCATCTAATATTTTTCATTTACTTCATTTAAACAAGTTTTATTTTTTATTCATATGTAACCAAGTTTTTATTTCGCACCTTGCAAAGAAGATTTTTGTACCTGATATAGCAGGTTTTGTGGACTGTATTTGTATATATTGTATTATATTCTGTATGCGACAGCTCTATGGCGTAGTAGGATAAGACAAACAATTGGAAGCTTTTCCATGATGGGTTCGAGTCCCGATATAATTGTTTACGCACATATACCTGTACAAAATTTTTCCTCTTTTTTGCAACTTATTTTTATGCTCTTCACTATATTTACGCCAAAATTACACCTCAAGGAAAATCTACTTCTTCAAAGTTATGCAATTGCTTTATCCCATGGCATCAGATGGCGCCACATGAACGTCACTCCAACGATATGCCATTATTGAAGCTTCTAAAGTCAGCAGATGGCGTCGTACTTCTTTCTCTTATGAGACCCGCACCCAGTGCTTTAAGACTTTCCACTTGTTCGGATTTTTTTCCTCATCTTTATGTCATTAAGAACTTAAGAAATATAGACTGGTAAAGGCCTCAACAGACCGCATGCCTCTTACACTAATGATGATCTGTGATCTGTGGAGAATTTAGTTAGTTAGTGAAAGTCTATCGAGCTGATAGACAATCAGTGAGTGCTGAGATGGTCGTCGAATGCACCGAAAGAATCTCTTAGTGTATCGCGGTTAGTGCATCGTCGAGAGAGTGTTTTCAGCTCCGGGAACGACTGCACCGAGGCGTCGGGAGCTGTACTCTAGTGTATCGTCGAGTGCATCGCCAGTTGGAGCGGGGAGAGTCTCGAGAGTACGTGAAGTTCCGAGAACGACCGAGCAGAGTCGGGAGCAGTACTCTGCTGTGTGACGAGGTCACACTGAATTAGTTATTTACTACGTTATGGCAATATTTAGATATTTGCATCAGATTCCATTGGTGACAGATTCCTTTTTTCGCCAACTTGTGTTGTAAGGGAAGGAACAGATTTCATCAGACAACTGTTGTAAGTCTTCACTTCTGTTTGCCTGGGTAGCTGAAGGTATTTTGCGATTGGTTGCCTTCTGACGCTGGATTTTTTTCATTGGCGGCAAAACTTAACTGTGGAACTTTATAAAAGGCGGTAATTTTTGTCTAACAGGAGTGAGGAGAAGGAAGAGATTGTGAAGGGGCGAGATGGAGATGCTGCATAGAGAAAGACGGTAAGAGTGGGGTAAAATGCAAACTTTTGAGAATTTATCTTGCAAGCTTTCTTGGCCTCCCAGTGTGTATGAAGGAAGCGAGTTTCTTTCTCATTGATGCTGTAGCTGCAAAATTTAAGCTAATCTTTTTTTTTTCCCGGGCTTGGCATTTTCGCCCGGCATCCCGATGAAGAGTACCTGCATGTGATTCAGCTGAAATATACCAAGTCTTCGAAGGGCTCTGTGGAAGAATTGATCTATCTTTTTTCTGAGTGAGGAGGCCTCATATCGCCATGTGACACAACGGATTCAAAAAAGAATATCTCTTCAGCATTGTTAGCATTCAATAAAGCAAGAATTAAATCTGTGTTCACGTGTTTGTCACTTTCTCGTCACGGCGGGCTATAGACCTGGATCTTGTCCTGGGTTAAGTTGCTACTATATTCCTGTTTATCATAACATGTGACATATGCTTTTGCCACCACAACCAACGAAATAAACTTTACCACATGGTGCTTTGCAGTGAAGCTGTTTTCACCGTTATAGCCTGATTGCCTGAAGGCTGTGTTGCTGATCGTTACAGCGTGCGTATAGTAGTTGGTGACTGTAAACATGTTATTGGAGCTGTCTTGAATAAGACTGCCCAATGAAGTGCGTTTCGATACTTCATCGAGTGCTGTTGTCATTATTCACTCGAAATCCGCACGAACCCGTACGTACGAACAACAAGAGGAAGAAAATAACGTAACACTATGATAGTAAATTTTCCTTCAATCCGCAATAAACAAACTTAATTTTTCTGTTAGGCAGGGCCTGGTTAAACCGCAACCTGTTTAATCCGTCGCACAATTAATGAGAAGTTTGCTGTATTTCTCTTCTCTTTTTAAATAACGATAATACCTTTTACGATTTTAAGAAACAAAAGTTTACTGTTAAATGAAACTGAAAGTCAATTAAAAAGTATTTCATTTTTTTAAAAGCTCCGGCCCTTATTTCGCGCTTCTCGTTTTAAACGTAAAATGGTATAAAATAGATAAATACACAAATGTTTAAAACAATACATTCAATAACATT